TCAACCCAGGTCAGTCCTGTTTTACAACAGTGGCACCATGCAGTATTTGTCCTTTTGTGACTGAGATATTTCACTCAGCATAATGTCCTCCAGGGTCACACATTTTGTATGGTATTTCATGAGTTCCTTGTTTTTCAATGCTGCATAATATTCCATTGATGAATATACCACACCTTTATCCATTCGTTTGTTAATGGGCACTTGGATTGTTTCCAAGTCTTTGCTCTTGTGAACAAAGCAGCAATAAACATAGGTGTGTATATATCTGTTTGGGTGGAAGTTCTGTTTTCTTTAGGGTTATTCCCAGTAGTGCAATTGCTGGGTCAATTGGTATTCCTATTTCCAACTTTTTGAGAAAGTGCCACACCACCTTCCATAGTGATTGCACCATTTTAAACTTCCACCAACAGTTAAGGGTTCCAGTTTCTCCACAACCTCTCCAGCATTTGCTGTTTGCTGCTCTGTTGAATTTTGTCATTCTTATGGGGTGAGATGATATATCATAGTTGTTTTGATTTGCATCTCTCTTACAGCTAGGGATTTTGAGCAGTTTCTTGTGTTTGTTAGCCATCTGAATGTCTTCTTCGGTGAAGTATCTGTTCATATCCTGTGACCATTTTTCAAGTGAGCGGTTTACCTTTATCTTGTTGTGGTGTACAAAGTTATTTTACTAGTTCACATTCTGACTATTGCATTCTTGTTATGTGCTGTTGAGTCAACTGTGACTCATAGTGACCCTATGAACCGAACCCTGGCCAACCTCACCATCTCTGACACATCAGATCCCACAGTCACTGTATCAATTTATCTCATTCAGGATCTTCTTCTGCACTCACCCTCTACCCTTCCAAGCAAGATGTTTTTCTCCAATGCCTGATTCCTCCTGCCAGCAGTAAATGAGATGGAGCTCCATGGAGTAACCTGGTTTTACTATCTTCAAGACAGACTAGTTTGGTCACTTGGCACATTCAATACTCTTCTCCAGCACCACAACTCAAAGGCATCAATTCTTCTTCTAACATCCTTATTCATTTTCCACCTCTCAGATGCATAGCAAGCAATTGAGAAAACCATGGACTGGATCAGGCACATCTTAGTCTCTAGATGGACATTGTTGTTCCTTAGCACTCTGTAGAGGTCCAGAGACTTTGTCGATGCAACTTGCCTTTTGATATCCTGGCTGCGGGGGCCAAGGGTGTTGATTGTGTATCCATGCAAGGTAAAATTATTATCAGCTTCAATTTTTTCTCCTTCTAACACAATGCTGCTTATTGGCCTGGTTTATTTTCTTGATGTTGAGATGCAGTTCATACTGAAGACTGCAGTCCTTGACCTTGTACAGCCAACACTTCAAGCCCTCCTCAGTTTTGGTGAGCAAGGGTTGGTGTAATCTGCTGTTGATGAGTTTTTCTCCAATCTTGACATCACATTCTTTTTAATGAAGTCCAGCCTCCCAAATGATCTGTTCGGCATATAGATTGGGAAAAAGTATGGAGACAGGATACATCCTTAACACACTGCTTGCAGAGTTCCCTTACTCTGCTTGAACATCTTCTTGGCCTCGGTCTAGGTTTCACATGAGCACAATCAAGTGTTTTGGGATACCCATTCTTCTCAAGCTTAGCCACAATTTGTTGTGATCTACATAGCCAGCTGCCTTTGCTGCATCAATAAAACACAAACAGATATCCTTCTGGTACTCTCTGCTTTCAGCCAATATCTTTTCATATGTTTGTGGAAGTTGAGATTTATGTTTTGTGAATTTCCTTATCACATAATTTGTCTATTGTGTTTATAATGGACTGCTAGGAAAACAAACAGATTCATCCTGCAAAGGGTTAAACCAGTGGCTCCTTGGAGGCAAGGATTCTAAGGCTCCATCTAACATACTTTGGACATGTTGTGAGGAGAGACCGGTCCTTAGAGAGGGGCATCATGCTTGGGAGGGTGGAGGGACAGCGCAGGAGAGGAAGGCCCTCTATGAGGTGGATTGATTCAGTGACTGGGATAATCAGGATGGGAGTGTCAGAGACAGTGCGATTGGCACAGGACAGAGCAGAGTTTAGGGCTGTTGTAAGCGACTCAACGGCACATAGCAACAACAACAACAACTGATTATGTGGAGTTTTTAAACTAAACATTATATGGGTATGATTCCTTGGTTCAGTTATATATGTTGCAATTTCCCCTGTTCCGTGCTGTGACTTTTCATTGAACATATGGTATTTTTGTTCCATCAAATCAAACCAAACCAGACCCATAGCCTTTGAGTAGATTTTGACTCAGTGACTGCATGTGGCAGAGTAGAAATGGGCTCTAATTTCCAAGGCTGTAATCATCTCTTAACTTTGGATCATTTGGGTGAATTCAAACTGTGGACTTTGGATTAGCTGAGCATTTAATCACTGTGTCACCAGCACTCCCTTGTTGTCTGTAGAAAGGATTACGATTTTAAAGCAATCAAATGCATTATTCCTTTCTTTTATAGTTTACATTTTCTGTGTCTCGTTTAGAGATTTATTTCCTTCCCAGAGGGCAAAAAGATGTACCTCTGTTTTCATTCCAAAAGTTTTTAAGTTTTGCATTTCAATTATCTAGTTGTGTATTCCACCTGAAATTTATTCTTGTGGCTATTATGAGGTAAATAGCTTATTTTATTGTTTCCCCATATGGATACCCAATTGTCTCCATGTGGTTTATTTACAAGTCCATCCTTTCCCTCCAGATTTAGAATGCCAGCTCTGTTACTTATTAAGTTTCCATGTATGTGTGAGTCTGCCTCTCAGCTCTCAGATCTGTTCTGTGGGACTGTTTACATGTTCCTGTACAAATAACAGTAGTTCTATAACAAGTTATTGATCACTATAGCTTCTCTAATCACTATAGTTTTGTAAGAAATTGTCTATCTCTTAGGATAATCTGTAT